CCCGGATTCGGGGAGGAACAATGGCACTCGTATACCCTTGATTTGGGAGAACTCTTGGGGCCACTCTTTGAGGTGGCGGAGGAGGGTCTGGAATATTGTTGTTCTAATTTGCATTTACATTTGCATTTTGGCCTCTTCGTGGACCTTGAGGTGCAAAAGGCACCTCATCTTGCTCAAGATCTTCTACCTTCTCCCCCGCCAAGACATTTCTAAGAGGGTCATTAGCATTTAGAGCCAATGGTACCTGAGTAATCGACACAAACAAAATTAGTAAACAAGAAGGAAAGAGAAACAAAGCACAAAACTAACTAAACAGATAGTCAAAACCGTAAGCTCCCCGACAACGGTGCCAAAAAGTGATCGCTGCCAACTCGACGCTACACCAAGGTAGGAAGAGCAGGTCACAATAGCTTTTGCCCGATATGAGGGTCGGGATCGATTTTCCTCAGGGATCTAATAATGGAGTTGGAATATCTATCTAGCTTAGAAATGTGTGTTTGCTTCAAATGTCACTTCAAACATGTTTTGGGTTTTCAATTTATAACTACTTTTATAAAACTATTGATTAACACTAAATTATACTACGAGAAGATTGCTAAGTTGTATCTAATGGGAAGAAGGGCACTATGGTTACAAAATACGATCCCACGAGCGCAGCTCATGTCTGAACACAACAGATGACCTAAAAATGGTAAAATATTCTATTTATACTAGGCTGGAAAAACTGGACAAAAATACCCCTGCGGGGTCAGTGCGGGCCGCACTAAAAGGACCGCGGCCGCACTGGGCTCTTTGACTTCAACTTTTTGCTTCTCAGAACATGGGCTCCGCGGACCGCGTAGAATGGACCGCGGCTGCGGAGGAGCTGGCGCGGTCCGCACAATCACGACCGCGAACCGCATGGCATTGGCTTGGCAAAAGTTTGTCTCTCTGAATCTCTTGTCCAGGGATCGCACAAAAGAGTAGTGCGGCCGCGGAGCCTTGAACGCGGACCGCGAGATGTGAACCGCGGCCGCGTTGCCTGAAGCTTGTTCTGCCAACTCTCTGAACCACCTAGTGCGGCCGCATTCAACTTTGCGCGGTCCGCACTAGGCCTTCTTTCCTTTAGATTTCTTAGTCTTTGATACTTGAGCAGTTTTCACTCCTTCTGAGCTGATCTTTGACATTTCGTCACTTTGTCGATTAAACCTGCAATCAAGCACAACTTATGAGCCTTTTGGATTTATTTTTTAACAATTTATATTCAAAGCATAGGCAAGTAGGAGCACAAAACACGTTAATATCCCAAATTATCACACACCTCGGACTATATAAACTAAATTAATTAGTAGCCTATGAAAACCCATTATATTATTAAGAAGGTTTGATCGAAGTTGTGCGAACGCATACTCCGAATTGGTTTTTAGACTTGTAATCATGTCGCGCGAACGTGTACACAATCACAATTGTATTTTAAACGTGCTTAAAGGCTTTTCTACGAATATTCATTTTAATAACTAACTATGTTATTTATGAAGGCCATAGGTGATTTAATGAAGATGTCACACCTCAACCGTTTTACGAGTCATAATTAAACTGGGCCTAATTAGGACGCTTGCAATTTGCAACTGATTCAAATTCAATAAAGTTATACATTGAGAGCGTGAATAGGCCACAGGTTATTTCAGTGAAATGGGCCAGCGTACAAACTCCTTGGCCATTGAAGTCAGGCGACCAAATTTACTAAAAATGACAAGAGAATTGGGCCCTGGAGGCGAACCCAGAAATGAAAAGAAGGGGCTTGAGACACAAGGGCCCGGCTTGGTCCGGGTAGTCTCACTTGGGCCAAATACAGGCCAGGCCATTTAAGGGATGTGGTTCAGCATTTCAAACATTTGTTACACTTGGAGTGACCCAAACATGAATCTACATTAGACTAAACATGAATCTACATTATTCACCATCTAATTTAAATCCAAGCTGCAGACACTAGAATACTATACACTCAACGAATAGTCAAGCCGCGTGCACTTTCAAATTCAAAACTATTACTAGCTGATGTTGAATTCATACTTATAGTGATTCTAACAGTAGAATGCTTCAGGCATTTAAACTAAGCATTACAATGCAACAGTAGTTCCTAAATTTGTTCAGATACTAAAACCAAAATCCAAAACAGCAAAGTCACGATAAGAGTTAATTTCAGACTGAACATCACTACTAGCTTGAAAAAATCTAAACAAAACCGAATCAGGAAAGTTCTTCATCTAAATTAAAAGCATATTATAACAGTGCAACCCCAAATACTCAACAGAAAGATTTTAAACCAAACTGAAACCAAAATGACAAACGAAAGTTCAAATACAACCCTAAGATGAATTGTATTGTCCATGGCATGAATAAATACAGTGAATCATGTAGCAAAACATAATTTAAGGCAAAACAAGGATAGGTTTTTAATAACACAAGCTAATACTCAGCCAAACTAAGGTTTACATCTCTATCATGCTTCAGATTTGAGCTTCACATATCAATAAGGTCCAAAGAGGTACCTGGATATCAAAATAAACCAAAGAAAATGAAGATTGCAGCAGAGTAAGTGAATCAGCAGATCAAACACAGCAATGTTCAGCTCACTTAGACCATTTTTAACCCCAGGCAAGTCAGAAATTCCTTGAAAAAATTTTAAGTTCTTCCTAATGGTGCGAACCAAAAAGCAATTTCCAGCAAAATGATGCATAAACTTTTTTATTTTTCATGGTGTGAATGGCTTCTCTAAATGAGAGAAAAGGGCTCTTTTATAGGCAATCCTAAGGCAGCCCTAGCCTAGCTAACCATTTTCCCTTTTTACCCCTTTAATTCTTGGTTATTTTACCCCTTCAAAATATCTGACCCTCCCTTATCTCATAACAAATCAGCCCTAAACTTAACCTCTAGAAGCTTCTCCCCACCAAAAAATTATTCCCTACCCTCAAATACCCAAAGTACCCCCTGACAACCTTGTTTTTACAATCATAATGCATCATTCCTAAATCAAATTGACCCAAGACCCAAATGAACGAGCCTCTTAACCGGGTCATAGATGACTATAGTTGATACATAAGCCCAAACCATTAGAAATGATCAAACAAAAAAACCTAATTAAGAAGGAACAAAAGAAAACAATCCAGAATTTTTTTACGATTAAACCTAACTTAAACACCAAACTAAGATAAATTCCACTATCAATGAAAATAAGATAAAAATAACTGAGCAAATATAAACATAAAAGTAATAATAATATATATACAAAAATAGAAAAATGTTGCAAGAAACAGAGTCAAGAGAGAAAAAGGGGAAAAGTACCAATTCATGTCGGAATGACATGACAAATGAGATGACTCGATGAACGACGAAGGGAAGTCAAAATTTAGCCGAAATCCAATGAGTCAGTCAAAATTAGACGTTTTCGTAATGACTCAAAACTTTCATCAATCGAACGCTCTCGTTGAGAGCAATCTATTAACTAAGATTCGAGTTAAAATGAGCCGAAATTGGGGCAAGAATCAGAGAAAGAAAAGGAAATTAGGGTTTGCATTTTCCGTTTTCAAATCCGAAATTGGGTAAATTTGGCTGGATTCTAAGGAAAGATACTGATAAATTTGGGAAGAAAGAGGGTCAAGGATTGCATGGTTGAATTTGGGGTTGGTTTGGAGCACGTCGCCGACTGGTGAGGGTTTGGGGATTAGGGGACGGCTGGGATCGAGTAGGGTTTGGTTAGAGACGGATTGGGGTGGGTTTGAATGGTTTAGGGGGTGGGTTTGAACACTTATATAGTTGGGGAGTGAGGAGTTCCGGTCCGTTGGATCTAATTGATCGAACGGTTGAGATGGAGGGGTTCCGAAACGGGATCGTTTGGTTTGAAGGCGAGGCTGGACCGGGTCAATGAGATTGGGTTAGGGCGTATTGGGGCGGATTGGGCCAGGGATTGTTTGGGTCTCGGCCCAAATTGGGTTTTAAGACAAAATTCCCATTCCCTCTTCTTTTATTCTTTGTTTTCTCTTTTTCTTTTTTTTAATTAATTAAAACCTAAATCAATCTCCAAAATTAATATAAGTTATAAAATTAAGTTAATTATCTACTATAGTATTTACAAAAATTGATTACTCCTAAATTAAAGAAAAATAAAAAAATTACTGATTTAAAATTAAAAGGCTAAAAATGCAAAAGTAAGCCAATTTTTGTGATTTTTATTTTTTAATAAAGCAACTAATTTACTAATTAACCTAAAAATGTAACAATAAATCCTAAATGCAATGCATGATATTTTTGACATTTTCATGATTTTTAACATAAATAAATATGCATAGAAATGCAAACAATGAGCACAAATTTTCACAAAATCCTATAAAATTGCAAATAATGGAAAATTTTTATTTTCTTGAATTTTATGAGAGTAATTCATATAGGGCAAAAATCATGTGCTCACACACAAATTATGAGATTTTACATTAGGGTTTTGGGCTAAACAGTCGTATATTCACTTTATTTTAGGGGTTTGTCTTTTTCATGAGTGATATGGCATTTAGGGTTAAAAAATTAGGGCTTTTTGAATATCAAAATATTCTTGTCTCCCACTTTGTTAAAGTTTATGGCTTTTTAGGGTTAAATTATATCTGACTTGGCCGCCCTTTTTTTTATAGGTTTCAATAGCTATCTATGTGAAATTACAGTTTCATCATCTAGGGTGGTTAGTGGCTGACCTATTTATGAGGTATGTAAATGGGAAAACTTGGCCAGTTGTTCTTCAAGCTGACATTGATGAATTATATATAATTCATTTTCATGATTGGGCTAAGGATATGGGGTACTTAATAGTAGATAAATATGCATGTAAAATTAACCAAAAAGGAGAATTTAGATTTCTGAAATATGATGTTGATGTGTTAGCTTTATGTGAAGACCTTAAGGATGCGGATTTCATTGATGTGTATATATGTCACACAATTAATACACCATGTCTTGATTTGGACCTAGATGAAATGTTAAGTAGTGGTGGTTTAAATGTGGACCCCACTAATGTTCAGCCATTTGGCTTTAATGAACTGCCACAGGGGCAAACAAGTGATATTAATGTTAGGGCAACACACTCACCTAACAATGATATAAATAGGGGTGATAACACTCATGGGAAGGGTAAAGAGAAGGCTGCTGAAAGTGATTCTGAAACAGAAGAATCTAGTGAAGATGAAGTTGAGTTCTATAACTTTCATTTAGCAACTAATTCTGAGGGTGATATTGAGGGTGATGCTGATGGTGATGAGCTAAGTACTGAGAGTGATAAAGATTATGAGGCTATTTCTGAAGATGATGATGATGATACAGATGAGTCATTATATGATTCTGATGAGGATATTGTTGGAGAGACAAGTGACCTAGAACCTGAAGTTGTTGCTGCTAGATAGGCTAAAGTGAATGCAAAGAGTAGTAAATTAAGATCTAGTAAAGTTAATACTGATGAGATACCTAGTGGACCTATAGGTATTGTCACGACCCAAATCGAAGGGCCGCGACGGGCACCCGGTGCCTTACTCAACCGAGTACCAACGTAACATATCTTTCTTATCATACTATCAAGGGTAAATGAGATAGAAAACATGTCATGAGATAACAAGAATAAAACATAAGGGAATACTCAACATATGATGACCGAACATGATATACAAACTTATACATGTGACATACAGGCCTATAAGGCCGACATGACCATTTGTAAACTCAAGACATAGGCCGACAAGGCCATACAAGTATCCATACACCTGACATCTGTCTACAAGCCTCTAAGAGTACATAAAATCATAAAGGTCGGGACAGGGCCCCGCCATACCAATCAATACATATCCAAAGCATACTGACCAAATAGGCAACTCCGGAGCAAGTGGAGTACACCAACACCTTCACTGAGCTGATAGCCTACTAGGAGGAATGTCAACCTGTCTATCGGGACCTGCGGGCATGAAACGCAGCGTCCTCAGGCAAAAGGGACGTCAGTACGAATAAAGTACCGAGTATGTAAGGCAGGAAAGTATAAACAAGATCAGTAACGTAAAGAGAAATAGAGGAGATACAACCTGTAACATCTGAGTGCCTCTGGGGGCTACTGACATGAAATGCATAATACATATATATACATAAGCTTTTAAAACATACGCCTCTGTGGGCATCATCATCATCATATCATACCCGGCCTCAAAAGGCTCGGTAGAATCGTACCCGGCCACGTGGAGCTCGGTAAACCCAACTGATCAGTGGTTGCACAATAGGTGCCATACCCGGCCGACTATAGCGCGGCTCGGTAGAGTAAAGTAGATACATATATAATGCATGCTGGACTCATGGAGTCACGTTCTAAACCTTTTGGAGTGACATAAGGTCATTGCACCATCGATTAACATTATGGACATCATACCATCAATATGAACTTCACTAGGACTCAAGGATCATGTATACTTTCTTGGAATAACTTTGTAAGGAAAGAATAACATGGACAACCTTAGTTGCTAGGAGTAGATTCATTATGAAATAGCGTATCGTTTATGTTCGTTTCACTTTAGATCATGCCAAAAGAATGAAGGAAGAGCCTTAACATACCTTAAACATGTTGAGTCCTTAATACCTTCTAAGCAACTCTTCAAACAAGTCAACTCGATCTATCATAGCATAAGGAGATTCAAAATCAGTGTTGAGCAAAGGCTAAGTCTGTAACTTAAGCTAGTAGCTCGTCTACGTAAATTCGGGCAGCATCTCCCTTGTAACAAGGGCCTCCTCCAATACCATATACCAACAACAACAGCCAGGGAAGTCCAGCAACCTATAAATATCAATAACAAGATACCATATAACAACAACAAGTCACAACTACTTCACGACGAGCGGCAAGCTCCGATTGGAATCCGTATAACCCATATCACCCCTTATAGACTTCTTACATTAATTTAAAACTATCATTAACATGATAATGAAGTCATTCATCAATGATTCCATCCTTATACCATATATTTATAACAAAGGAAACAATCCTCAACTCCAACTATCTTCAATTAGTAGCTTTATTCACTAGTTCATGTCTACTCCATCCATTTAACTTAATCAACATCAAGATAACCTTAAGCACATGCAAGAACACAATACACACAACTCCTATAGTAACTTCAAGTCGAAATTCAAGTTATATTCAGCTCACAACAACCCTCAATAGCAATACAACACCATAGAAGTGACTTAAGCTAATCCAAGTACTATCTTGTAGTTTATCATCCTAACAACTTAACCAACATACAAGCAAGCTTAAGCACAATTAGTAGGCTGTTATACTCACCTTATACAGCGGCAAAAACTTGGAATTTCATCCAAATACAGCCCACAACAATCCTCAATAACAACACAATCTCAAAGAGGTGTTGTTCTTCACTAGAACTAAGTTTTGATGTTGAGATATGGTGTAATCACTTTGGAATCACTTCAAACACTTGTGGAATCTGTTTAGAAGGGTTAGGAGAAGTTTGGAGACCAAGTTGAGTTGAAAATAAGTGAAAAATAGGCGTCCAAATCGTTTATAAAGTGAAGTAGGTCGACCACCGCCTAAGTGGGTCCCATTGGGAGCTGCTTGCGCGGTCTCGCGAAAATGCGAATATCTCTCTACTCCAATGTCGTATTGACGAACGGTTTAATGCGTTGGAAATTAGACTCGTAGATCTTCAATTTGATATGTAGATCATCCATTGATTGCAAGTATATTGGGAGAAAAGTGCATCTACATTTGACCTAAATTTCAGCACATTATGAATGCAACTTGTGATGACCTTTGCTAACTTTTGTTCCATAACTCGTTTGACTTAAAAACATAACACACGACTATCATACGACTACAATAACTCATAAATTAACCTCCTCATCATGTTAATCACCCTAGTCTCACCCCAAAATAATATGTTATAACATTCCAAACTTGTCGATTCTTGACGAAACTTATTTTCTTCAATTCGTTTAGCGACTAAGCTTTCCAACCCTTTTGGTACTTGTTATTCATGATCTTAAATATTTGTAAACTCCAAGGTAACATGATTAACTTACTTTATTTGCTTCCAAATATAATCTCATTTTCGAGCTTACATCAATGATTTACGACGTACTCTCACGTATGAAAACTTGGGGTGTAACAGGTATAGACCCTGGTTTTGAAGATATGTATAAAGACAGGGGATCCAAATATGCTGGAAAGTTGGGAGGGGATGAGCAATACCTGGACAGTTCAGATCCAGATAGTGAGGATATAGATGATGAAGTAGTTGAAGAAGATGGGGTGCATAACCTTCAACCAAGAAGATAGAGCAGTAGGGTATACTTTAATCCTGCTTGTACGAAAATTTGTTTCCAGTTGGAAATGGTGTTTGAAAATGTGAAACAGTTCAGATCTGCTTTGCAAGATTATACTGTAGAAAGAAGAGTTAAAATTAAGTCGAGGCCTAATGAGCAACATAGGGTTAGGGCAAAATATGTGAACTTAACAAGATGTAGATGGAATATTTTGGGAAGTTTGGAGGGACACACGGGGAATTTCATTGTCAGTAGCTACTATCTTGTTCATAAGAGTTTTAGGGCAACCATAAACAAGATGGCTAATACAGCATGGGTAGCTAAACATTTCAAGGACAAGATTGTCAGCCAACCTGACATAAAGCTAAGGAAGTTGCAGGATTTGGTTAGGATAAATTATGGTGTATATGTAGGAAAATCCATATGTGCTAGGGCTAAACATCAGGTCATGGGTCACTATCTTGGTGATTACAAGTAGGTGTTTACTAGAATATATGATTATGCTGACATGTTGAGGTCTATAAATCCTTATAGCACTGTTGTTGTGAAGACCTCCAAAGAGGTAATACCTGGTAAAGAGGTATTTGTGGGTATCTATATTTGTCTACATGCTTGCAAAGTTTGTTGGTTGGAAGGATGTAGAAATGTTATTGGCTTTAATGGAGCATTTCTGAAGGGTGTGTGTAAGGGTGAGCTACTATCATGCATTGGTAAAGATTGTAACAATCAAATGTACCCTGTTGCCTGGGCAGTGGTGGAAAAAGAGACAAAGCACACATGGTCATGGTTTTTTAGGTGCCTGATACATGATCTGCAGCTCACAAAATACAAAGGTGAGGGGCTGACCATCATTTCTGATATGCGGAAGGTATATACTTCACCCATGTTCTTCCTTAATTACTTGTCTACTTTATATACGTTTATGATATTTTACTTGTTTTTCTTGTTGCTTAAGGGACTTGTTGCATCTGTTTCCGAGTTGTTGCCAAATGCTGAGCACAGAATATGTGCAAGACACATATGGAGCAACTGGAAACAAAAGTGGAAAACAGAGGAAAGAAGGAAGAAGTTCTGGGCCTGTGCAAGGGCTTTATTTGAAGCATATTTGAAGGCTAAGATAGATGAGCTGGAAGAATTAGGTGATAGTAAGATCATTGAGGACTTGCTGAGATACCCAAAACAATGTTGGTGTAGGTCATTCTTCAAAGATTGGAGTAAATGTGATTCTGTGGAGAACAACATGTGTGAGACCTTTAACAGTTGGATCTTGTCTGCTAGGCACAATTCTATCATAACCATGTTAGAAGAGATTAGAGTGAAGGTGATGGAAAGGATGACTGCCATGAGAGAATTTGCAACAAGGTGGATTTCTGATGTATCTCCTATGGCAATGGGGTACATAGAGGAACAATCTCAATATGTTGTTGAGCATAAATCTAAATGGAATGGGGACACTGGATATGAGATACAACATGGGTTGTACAAACATATTGTTGACTTCTTCAACAATACATGGACATGTAGATCATGGCAGTTCAAAGGAATACCATGCTCCCATGCAATATGTGCAATGTTTTTTAAGAGATTTGAGCTTGATGACTATGTAACCCACTGGTACAAGAAAGAAACATACCTGAAGGCTTTTAATTGTTACATACAACTAGTAACCAACATGGAGATGTGGCCATCAATATAGAATCCAACTGTTGAGCCTCCTGTAATGTCACGACCCAAAATCCCTCCGAAGAAGTCGTGATGGCACCTAGTCTCTAAACTAGGTAAGCCTAACATTAACTGAGATGACATTTATATTTTCTAACTTTAAATTAAATAATTCTTAACAAATTACAACTCCCAAAACCAGTGGTACAAGTCGTAAGCCTTTTTAAAAATAGTTATACAAAATAAATACATCACTGTTCCGAAATGAAGGAACAAATGGAAATAAGTACAAATGAAGGTGACTCCAAGGCCTGCGAACGCTGTAGCAGGTTTACCTTGAGTCTCCAATGCAACGACCCACACAGCTACTACCGATCGAATACCTGGATCTGTTCATAAAAATGTACAGAAGTGTAGTATGAGCACA